GAAATGTTGCTTTTTTGTTCACTAGTGAACAAAAAAGCAACATTTCACCTAGATTTCCTTTAATTCCACACATTTAAAACATGTTTCTCACCAAGTTTGTGTAAATTCAGCGGTGGGTTTAAAGACATTTAAACTTTAATACACTTTAATACAGAGCGTCAGGTCAGCAATAATTGTCTTTATAGAAAAATAAAAAACATCACCAACGGACTTTTTTACTTGTGTGCCACTACTCATCTAAATGATGTTTCTCATGAAGCTTGAGGACAATAAGGTGTGGGGTTTTAAAGACATTTCATCTTTAATGCACCTGAACACACAGCGTCTCTAACACCTGCAGCGTCTTATAGCGTCACCGTTACTGCTAAGCTAACATGCTACAGACACAGTGCTCCTCTCAAACATTCTCCTAACATGAATATATGTTTATGATCAACCCCCTGGTGAACCACTGCTCGCACTAAGCTCGCTAAACTGGCGAGCGAGTAACACAGGTACCTCCACCTCCTCCACCTGTGCACGTTTTCTGCCGAGGCAAGAGGCAGGAAGGGACGGTGGAGAGTTGGAGGTAACCAGGAAAACCTGGAGTGGAGTTTTAGTGGCTTGAGTATTCTCCAATTAATCAAGTGGAATGGATTCGTTCACGAAAAAAGAGAAACTGCGCCACCTGAACTAATGTTTTATAGTAAAAGTGGGGGGGTCCAAATTAACATTTTTTTAATGTGGGGGGACTTGTCCCCTTCACACATAATGGTTGTGACACCTTTGACCACCACCTCCAACCTCTACACTTCATGATGCAGGGGGGAGAGCGCTCCACATCCTGAAGGACTTCACTCATCCTGCACACAGTCTGTTCCAGCCTCTCCCCTCAAGGCAGCTGAGGAGCATTCAGAGCAAGACCACCAGGCTCAGAAACAGTCTCTTCCCTGCAGCTGTCAGACTGCTGAACTCAAGCTGCACTTAATTCAGCTTCATCTTACACGTTTTAAAGTTTATTTATTATATATATATTTATACTATTCAGTATTTATTTATTTGTTAATTGTAATTTCGTACCATAAACATGCAAATTCTTGAATCTCCAGCTCTAACTGGAGTGGTTCACAGCTGAGTGTGCAGCGCCTGGGATGAGGATCATCGTCTCCAAATCTGAGGCCATGGTCCTCAGTCAGAAAAGGGTGGATTGTCTTCTCTGCATTAGGAATGAGGTTCTGCCTCAAGTGGAGGAGTTTAAGTACCTCAGAGTTTTGTTTATGAGTGCAGAACAAAAGGAATGTGAGACTGACTGACAGATCTGTGCAGTTTCTGCAGAATTGTGACCCCTGTGCCAATCTGTTGTGTTAGAGGGAGCTGAGCTGTAAGGTGACGCTTGCTGTTAACTGGTCAGCCTTGTTTCCTACCAGCACCAATAGACATAAACTTTGGGTAGTGACCAAAAGAACAAGATCGTAGATACGAGCACTCAGAATGAGTTTTCCCTGCAGGGTGGCCAGAATCTCCCTTTGAGAAAGCGTGAGAATTTCAGTTATCTGGGAGACTCAAAGTAAAGCTGATCATCCACAGTGAGAAGCACCAGTTGAAGCAGTTTGAGCATCAGGTAAGGATGCCCCTTTGACAGCTCCCTAGGGAGGACACGCTGGAAAGACCATGTCTCTTGGCTGGTCTGGGAACGCCTTGGAATCCTCCCTGAAGAACTGGAAGAGGTGGTTGGACCTTCTTGCTTAAATTGATGATCCCGTGACCCGACTCCAGAACAAGCAGAAGATGATGGATGGATGGATGGATGGATGGATGGATGGATGGATGGATGGATGGATGGATGGATGGATGGATGGATGGATTTCTTGCAATCTGTTAGCACTCAGAATATGTGATGAAGATCATCTCAGCTTCCACCACACCAATTTTCAGCTCAATGATTAAGTTAGAGCTTGTTCTTTTTTGTTGGCTGTAGTGGCCAGCTTGGACTGGGTTGACTTCAAACTTTTTACAAAAATTTGTAAAAAGAAAAAAAAAACAACAACAACCCACTATTTTCCACCTTTGCTATTTGGCAGTGAACAATAACTAATAAAGAGAAAAGCCAAGCCTGTGGTACCTTTGTGTCTGTGATGGTTTTCTCCACCAGGGGAAGCAGTTCATTGGAGAGGAAAGTAGCATGGGCATCAACGTAAGAGAGGCCCTGAGGCTCGTAGATATTTGCCAGAATCTGTTTCCACACAGGCAAACAGAGGAACAAGGGGTTATTTGTAAAGTCACACACTCCTTCAGGATGTTGAAAACGACCAGGAACTCATTAAGGAAAGGGTTTAACTGTGAGTGTGGGTTGACCTGAAACTGCTGAACCACTGTTTTAGGTTTGATTCGTGTAAAAATCTCATAACGGCCCAGTTTCCTCTGAAGGAGCTCCTCGTAGGTCAGAATAAAAGTCACGTTACTTTCAGCTGCGATGTTAACAGACACAGAAAACTTCTCCATCTTTCTTCCAGAAGCTCTGCAATAAAACACAGACGTCTTACAGACTGCTGCTGAACGCTGAGTTTAAAATGAGTATACTATGCTTTTTGACTGGGATAGAAAATAAATAAAATCTGAATTAACTCACTGGACCAATCCAGCCGTCTGCCCTGAGGAAATAGCCTTCTCGTACTGTTTTTTAGCTTTCTCTTTCTCCTTCACCTCACCAATATACTCTTTACCTTCTATTTCCCTAAAAGCATCAGAGAACAACATAACACACCTTGGAAAAACTGGATTAATGACATAAAAAACCAAATCAAAAACCAGCTGACATGCTGAAGTTAGTGATGAAAGCTGTCTTGGGCATCTCCACTTCATAAAAGATTTCCTGGGATGAGTTGGCTTTGTTTAAAGCCACTGAGGTCATGACGGTGTGGGCGAAGCGAGACATCACAGTGCACTGCACTGTCACACTGTGCACCTCCACCTGCAGGGACACAAGAAAAGATAAAGACGCAAACACTAAATAAATTCAAGGCCTAGCATTCCCGGAAAGAGCGTGAATCATCGGCTGTCTTCCATCTTGTTTAGGTCAAACTGTAACAGAGTGTGATCTTTTAGTACTTGGAGGATGTGTTGTAGATGACTCTCACCTACTACCACATCACAGTATCTGGAAAATTTATGGAATCATAACTGTTTATGTTGGCTGTATTGGGGTTGTGTGTGTGTGTGGGTGTTTGTGTGTGGGAGTACTCA